TGTTGTCATCACATGTAGTATGAAACACTGTGCTACCTAAGTTCCCATCACAGGAGATGGGAGTAACATCAGATACCTGGATGATGTTGAGAGGCTTCTCCTTTACTTCATAATGATGAGGGCATTGTCTGAAGTGAGATGCACGTCCATATTCTTAACATGAACGTTTTGAAAGAGTTGCTTTCAGATGGCGTAAGCATTCTATTCAAGCATACATTGCCCACTATTACTCAGCCTAGATTAAGTCTTTGTGCATATGGGGCGTCGTCAGGTCTATAGCACTTCTGGCATACTTTATGTACTCTGAGAATGTCTCTTCCTATCAATCTCAGTAATCAGCTGCCTTAATTGGGGATAGTGATACACAGCTTCTGGAGTAGGAATTTCTTCCCTGTGGTCTGGAATTTCTTCACACTCAACTAATGTTGGCAAGGGTATGTCCTTGTTTGCCTTTGTCCTAATATGAGAGACCATGAGCCCTTCTGAAGGAGGTTTCTACAAGACCAGAACAGGTGTTTAGAGTATATGGTGTTGAATGAGCCTTTATGCCAAAGATCTCAAAGAATTTAGGTTTAACCAGGGATCTGTTGCTCTGCTCATTTATCATGGTATACATCCTGGTAGCTTTTTTAGGTTGATCCTACGGATACATTTGTGACTAGACATACCTTGGCACAGCATGTGTGGCTTAATCTTTCTCCACAGACTTCAGTACATGAAGAAGAAATGTTTGTTGTGGCTGGAGCATGGCTTTGTTGCTCCCCGCCATGATTTGAAGCAACACTTGTTGTAGATGGCTACTGTGGCTGTAACGCGTTTGTCACTACTGCAGTCTGTGCACTTGATGACAACTTTTTAGCAAAATAGTCATAGGAAGCACAGCACCTATAGCATATTCCAAGTTTCTGGAGAATCTCTTTGTGTTCTTATAGTCTTTGCCCTAAGCCCACAACATTTCTTAAGAGGGCAAGGTTTTTTGTGAATAGGGCACTGACAATTAGGATCTTTATGACTATCACCTGAATCACTCTGGTGAGCAGGAGAGGATACAGGAGGTGAGATGTCTGTCTTTTTATTTATTTAAGTGTCTATGTTTAGCTGCTTTGTGATCATACCTTGCTGATCAAGCAGGCAAGCTAAATTCACTGAAGCTGAAGTTGGGATCATTTCATAACCAGGCTGTTCACTGATGAACCTGCAAAAATATGAGAATGGAGGAAAGGATACATTATAGTCTCTTTTATATTTTGAGCCCTGTTGTGCCCATTTCTCTTGCAGGTTGTATGGCAGTTTAGACACCACTGGATTCATGCCATGAACGGTGTTCAGATAGCTTAGTCCAGGTAGACGAGGGTTTTGTCTTTGCAAATTCTTGCTCCATGAGGAGGATGCTTAGTTCTGTGAAGCTTGCGATAATATTTGTTACCTATTTTTGGAAAGTTTTGCATTCTTTTGAATACAGCATTTTCTATGGCTTCAGAGCTACCATAGGTTTGCTCAAGTCTTGCCCCTGCAGCAGCAAGACCTGCGTCTGGATAGTCAACATGTACTGCTCTCAGTCTTTTAATACAATCTGCAGATTCTGGCCCCAGCCACTTTATGAGCAAATCAAGTTCCTCCTTGGCAGTAAGGGTGCAATCAACAATACTGAATATATTGTAATATGTAGGACTGTGCTCTGGACCACTGCACCACTCACAGAAACAAGAAAAAAATAACAGATAGCTGTCATTCTTAATGGAAATTCCATTAATTGAAAAAATCTGTGCATATAGAACAACACTGCTCACAAATATCTCCAATCACCTAATCCATAACTCAAAAGATTAACAAAATGTATATTAAAATCATCCTTTTATTATAAAGTGCAAAGAACTAATATATATATAACAAACCCTCCTGTGCCTCTACATCACATAAATACAGTATGAGTGCAATATAATATATAACTAATATATAACGTTCCTTCTCATCACATAAACGTGTAAAAAAACAATATTATTCATTATTATAGTGACTGGTGCAAACAAATAAATAAAGTGCATGGAATGTGTCCATTATATAACTTTAAACGTAGTTACATCTGTCACAATCGCGGTGTCAGACCCCAGACCTCACCAAACTCATGACCGAAGGACTGGCCGATCTAAAACTGCGATGTCACATGCGTAACAATGCCACACCCAGCTGCACCCTGTACAACGATTTTCCAGCTAATTGGACCACAATCTATGTACCGGCAGCCTGAACGCTTGTTACTGGGTTAGGTTAATTACGCAATTAACCCTTCACACTGCCACCACCTCAGAGAAAGAGGAAACTCGGCTATACCAGCAATAACACTATAATGGTTGATAATCGTCGGTATAACCCAGGTCAACGCAGCCCGGTTATACAGAGGGTTAAACAAACCTGGTAGCGCTCTTTTTAGAGGCAGGAATTTGTAAATTGCAATTAAGAGCTTATAGAAACAGTTCAACACTTCCAGAAGGAAAGATTTATTACTAAAAGGTCAAACGGTGCAATAAAAATATTTACAGAAAAAGATGTAACCAATATATATATATATATATATAAAATATGCAGAGAACAATAACACAGCAAAGACATAACAGAGAGAGGTTAAAGGGTTAAAGTACTTGCCATAAAGCCTTGGATTTAAGCAGATCAAGTTTCAGAGCAGAAGGGTGCCTTGATCTCCCTCTGTTTCGATGGTCAATGGGAGAATACTTCAACCCCCTTCTTAGGCCTGACAGCCCATTTTGTAGTTCCCTAGCAGGGGGTGTCTCTGAAGTCCAGGACCAATGCCCCGTTTAGGGAGGGATCGTCGGGCAGAGCCCTAAACTAGAGCCAAAATCTTTCCTAGCTCATATTTTGGCTCATAACTTTCCATATGCATAAGTGACACTCCACCTGCGGGTAGATTATTATGCAGAGACGTCTGAGGATTGATTAGATATGAATTATGAAATTCTACACTGAATGGTTCACGAGATCTATTTTTCTGCTTTCCTATGTATTCAAGACAAGGCGAGTGACCTATCAAACTGTTCGACTCCTCTTAGCCAATCTGACGATATGTCTGATTTTTATGTAAGTCTCTCATATTCCAAGATATGAGACATAGGGGAAAAAATGGATCTTTTAAAAAAAGTTATCTGGTGTGCCTCCTTGGAATGTCTTTTGAACTCCTGGGAGGGCTGCGTTATCTTTTTACGTGGTGTTAAATGGCACAGGTTGCTCAGACAGCGAGGCACCTTGCTCAGAGAGGTGTTTTATAGCTCTGGGCTCCCTGCCATGCTCCAGCCTGCCTGTGACCCTTCCAACACACATATGTCCCTGTGGATTAACAGAGAGGAAAGGGGGGAAAAATGAGGGACAACATGGAGATTCTTAACAAAATGGAGGACTGCGTCAGTCTCTGGTGCGCACGTTTGCGACAACATCATCAAAGTCCAACATAATTCCTTATGTCCATCTAATTCATGAAATTCTCCACTAATAAAGTGCTACTTGCTGTGTAAATTCCACAAAGCCAATGACACCACCAATAAACTGCTCTATCCACCACCAGATTAGATAGACTCACCAGAGCGATATGCTGGTGAAAAATTATAGACCAACATAAGCGCTTATTGCTCTGAGAGTATCGGTCTGCAGCCCACAATCCTATCTTCAGGGATTTCTTATAATGATATACTACTCTCACTCATAAGGAAAAAAGGTCTGAAGAAGCCTCCATAGTGTAAAACCATTTCATATGTTTATTAAAACAACAGAAAAAATACCACTCACATTGTTCTGTGTCTCCACTAGCACAAGTGAAATAGCATACACTCGTAACCGCAAGACAGCACTGCCGTGCATGGTGACGTCACTTCCTGGCCCCGCCCTACGCATTTCTTCACTCGACGTCCTCTGGGAGCAGAAGGCTGAACATTATTGCTAGTAGGAGGTAAAGTCTGAATTAGTACTTTCTCCAACTGCTAGTTCATGGATCTTCAGCCTTGCTAAGGCAGCTGCTTCCTCCCTCTCCATTTGCAGAATCTTTATTTGGGATTTCGCCGTTGCTTGGCAAGCTTTGTTCTGAGCTTCTATGTATGCTTGGGGAGTTTTGCTCTGAGCGTCTATTTCTGCTTGGAGAGCTGTCATCTCTGCCTAACAAGCTGTCATCTCTGCTTGCAGAGTTTTGCTTTGAACTTCTGCCTCTGCTTGGTGAGTGGTAATCTCTGCTTGAAGAGTTTTGCTTTGAGTTTCTGCCTCTGCTTGCAGAGTTTTGCTTTGAGCTTCCATTTCGGCTTCCTTTCTGGCAAAGGAGCTTTGCACTTTGCTTGCTTCCAGACTTGCCTCTATTAGCTTGTCACTTAATGTTGAGCTTCTAGAAAAAGATGATCTAGAAGAATGTGCTGTGAGCTTCTTAGATGTGGGTTTGTGAAATCTGCTCTCCTGCAGTTGAGCAATGCGGAGTTCTGCCTTACACTTAGAGCTCTTTGTTGGTTTAGTGCAGGGGTCCTCAAACTACAGCCCACGGGCCACATGCGGCCCGCCGAGCACATTCATCCGGCCCGCTGGCAGGGGACACTAAGTACAGGGGCGGGAAGGGGGCTGCTGTCTCTTACCTGGCTCCAGTCCCACGACGATCCAGTCCAGGATGCACAACTCCTTCACTCCTTCACTCCGGCCGCTCCCTCACTCGATGTCCGCGCTGCCACTTGGCTCCGCCTCCTCACCGGTGATTGGGCGCCAGTACTGTAGCTCAGGAAGGGCACACAGGTGGCCAATCACCGGTGAGGAGGCGGAGCCAAGCGGAACAGGCAAAAATCAAGGGAGGGAGATGCCGAAGTGAAGGAAGGAGGATAGCTGACCGCCCGGTAAGTGTGCCGTGCAGATGGTACTGCTGCAACCAGGTATGCTGGCTGCAGCAGCACCATGCTGGAACAGGGGTCGGCTAGTTAAGTGTCATTGCTCTCAGTGGGAGGAATAGTGCCCATCATTGGTGTCACTGATAATAATGATGGGGCATTATTCCTCCCACTGACACCAATGATGGGGCACTATTCCTCCCCCCCACTGACACCAACAATGGGGCACTATTCCACCCCCCCCCCTGGCAACAATGACGTACTATTCCTCCCACTGACACCAATGATGGGACACTATTCCTCCCACTGACACCAATGATGGGGCACGATTCTTCCCACTGACACCAATGATGGGGCACGATTCTTCCCACTGACACCAATGATGTGGCACTATTTCTCCCACTGACACCAATGATGGGGCACTATTCCTCCCACTGACACCAATGATGGGGCACTATTCCTCCCCCACTGACACCAACGATGAGGCACTATTCCACCCCCCCCACTGGCAACAATGACGTACTATTCCTCCCACTGACACCAATGATGGGACACTATTCCTCCCACTGACACCAATGATGGGACACTATTCCTCACACTGACACCAATGATGGGACACTATTCCTCCCAATGACACCAATGATGGGGCACGATTCCTCCCACTGATACCAATGATGAGGCACTATTCCTCCCACTGACACCAATGATGGGGCACGGTTCTTCCCACTGACACCAATGATAGAGCACTATTCCTCCCACTGACACCAATGATGAGGCACTATTCCTCCCACTGACACCAATGATGGGGCACGATTCTTCCCACTGACACCAATAATGGGGCACGATTCTTCCCACTGACACCAATGATGTGGCACTATTTCTCCCACTGACACCAATGATGGGGCACTATTCCTCCCACTGACACCAATGATGGGGCACTATTCCTCCCCCCACTGACACCAACGATGAGGCACTATTCCACCCCCCCTCACTGGCAACAATGACGTACTATTCCTCCCACTGACACCAATGATGGGACACTATTCCTTACACTGACACCAATGATGGGACACTATTCCTCACACTGACACCAATGATGGGACACTATTCCTCCCAATGACACCAATGATGGGGCACTATTCCTCCCACTGACACCAATGATGAGGCACTATTCCTCCCACTGACACCAATGATGGGGTACGATTCTTCCCACTGACACCAATGATAGAGCACTATTCCTCCCACTGACACCAATGATGAGGCACTATTCCTCCCACTGACACCAATGATGGGGCATGATTCTTCCCACTGACACCAATGATGGGGCACGATTCTTCCCACTGACACCAAGGATGTGGCACTATTTCTCCCACTGACACCAATGATGGGGCACTATTCCTCCCACTGACACCAATGATGGGGCACTATTCCTCCCACTGACACCAATGATGGGGCACTATTCCTCCCACTGACACCAGTGATGGGGCACTATTCCTCCCACTGACACCAATGATGTGGTACTATTCTTCCTACTGACACCAATAGTGGGGCACTATTCCGCAGTCTCTGAACAAATGCGGACACTGTACAGGAGATGACCATAGTTTTTTTTTTAAACTATAGTCCGGCCCTCCAACGGTCTGAGGGACAGTGAACTGGCCCCGTTTAAAAAGTTTGAGGACCCCTGGTTTAGTGCATCTGTCTTAGTTCTGCTAGGGAGCCCTCTATATTAAAGTCCTTTAAGAAAGCTGTGTATTTTGCAGACAGGTGCTGGTAGTGTTCATACGCTGCAGATAGATGATCTATAGAGTCTCTTAATTCAGCTGGTTTATCATTAAAGTACTGCAAATCTGACATGCAGTATGTAGTTTTGTCACATAGATCTGACAGATTGCTGGAGAACTCATCTCTAGTGGTTTCATAGAGTTTCTGGGTTGGTAATATTGTGCATTTGGGTCTTACACTTTGCTCTTCGATATCTGCAGAATCTCCTCCCTGTACATCTGTGTGGTCAGTGGCTGTATCTACATTGATTCAGCGATAATAGAGTGCTCAGAACCTTGTCTAGACATTTCGTCCATGTTTTGCAAAAAATGGGTATTGTCTCTATAAGAAGACGAAGAGCAGCTTAGACAGATGGAATCAGGGGCGGACTGACAACTCATGGGGCCCCCAGGCAATAGGGGATCATAGGGCCCCTGTGTCCTTGCCCAAACTCAAAAAAGCCTATGAAAAAGGTACCAGGGGCATCTCATGGGGCCCCCTACTGACACCGGGCCCTTGGTCAGTGCCCGAGTTTCCACATGGTCAGTCCGCCCCTGGATGGAATAACACGGTCCTATGTAGAGAAGCAGTTTAAAGCATTCACAGGTGAAGTGCAGTAAGCTTGCGCAACTATGTACTTTCACAAGATGGAGGATAGAACTGAGCTTGATTGCAGATTACACATACATATACACAGCAGGCTGTAGGAATTCTACCATGTTTTGACTATTCTGACTCCAACTGTTGTATAAGTGACTTATCCCTTAATGAGACCTCTCTGCCTGGCCTGTATAAGCAGATACAATCACTGTGGACAGTCTTTATCAGATAGCTGAAGTCTTTATCAGATGGCTCACCAAACTCCTGTTTTTCTCATCCACGGACCTTTTTGCAATGCAGAAGGTAGATCAGACAACAAGATGTTGCAGATGGATGAATGAATGGACTCTATTTGCAGGTCAAAACATGTGTCCCGGATGCGAGCAGATTGTACAGGTGAAACTCTAAAAATTAGAATATCGTGCAAAAGTTCATATATTTCAGTAATGCAACTTAAAAGGTGAAACTAATATATGAGATAGACTCATTACATGCAAAGCAAGATAGTTCAAGCTGTAATTTGTCATAATTGTGATGATTATGGATTACAGCTCATGAAAACCCCAAATCCACAATCTCAGAAAATTAGAATATTACACGCAATCAAAAAAAACAAGGATTGTATATAGAACAATATCGGACCTCTGAAAAGTAGAAGCATGCATATGTACTCAGTACTTGGTTTGGGCCCCTTTTGCAGCAATTACTGCCTCAATGCGGTGTGGCATGGAAGCTATCAGCCTGTGGCACTGCTGAGGTGTTATGGAAAACCAGGATGCTTCAATGGCGGCCTTCAGCTCTTCTGCATTGTTCGGTCTCATGTCTCTCATCTTTCTCTTGGCAATGCCCCATAGATTCTCTATGGGGTTCAGGTCAGGCGAGTTTGCTGGCCAATCAAGCACAGTAATCCCACGGTCATTGAACCAGGTTTTGGTGCTTTTGGCAGTGTGGGCAGGTGCCAAGTCCTGCAGGAAATTGAAGTCAGCATCCCCATAAAGCTCTTCTGCGGAAGGAAGCATGAAGTGCTCCAAAATCTCCTGGTAGACAGCTGTGTTGACCCTGGACTTAATGAAGCACAGTGGACCAACACCAGCAGATGACATGGCTCCCCAAATCAACACAGACTGTGGAAACTTCACACTGGACTTCAAGCATCTTGCAGCATGTGCCTCTCCATTCTTCCTCCATACTCTGGGTCCTTGGTTTCCAAATGAGATGCAAAAGTTACTCTCATCAGAAAAGAGGATTTTGAACCACTGAGCAACAGACCAGGTCTGTTTTTCTTTAGCCCAGGTAAGACGCTTCTGACGTTGTTTATTGTTCAGGAGAGGCTTGACAAGAGGAATACGACATTTGAAGCCCATGTCCAGGATCCGTCAGTGTGTGGTGGCTCTTGATGCACTGACTCCAGCCTCAGTCCACTCCTTGTGAAAGTCCCCAACACTTTTGAATGGCCTGACAATCCTCTGCAGGCTGTGGTCATCCTTGCTACTTGTGCACCTTTTTCTTCCACACTTTTCCCTTCCACATAACTTTCTATTAATGTGCTTTGATACAGCACTTTGGGAACATCCAACTTCTTTTGCAATTACCTTTTGAGGCTTTCCCTCCTTATGGAGGGTGTCAATGATGGTTTTCTGCACAACTGGCAGGTCAGCAGTCTTTCCCATGATTGTGATTCCTACTGAACCAGACTGAGAGACCATTTAAAGGCTCAGGAACCCTTTGCAGGTGTTATGGCTTAATTGAATGGGGAAAGAACAAAAAGAGGGCGCACAGGCCTAGTGCATTACCATAAAAAATGTTTAATAAAAAATAAAGTAGGTGTTGTACTCACAAACGACAATATAGTCAAGGCACATCATAAAAGAACAGCTGGATCAACACCGCGCTGAGTAACAGTCCGCAATAGGGAGTTTAGACATCCAAAAGGCTGACGCGTTTCGAGGACTTGCCTCTTCCTCAGAGCCAACTGACCAAATGTCTGCTCCCTCTTTTATATGCTCACTACTAGTTAAACCAAAGGTCACATGGGCCGTCCTGGACACTCCCCTGTGCTGGTGGAGGAGTCACAGGGGCAATCGACATAGTGTAAGTAAACACGAAAGGTCTATAAAAAAAATATATATATATATATATATGTGTATAAATAAAACCATTGAAACTAGTGACAATCATAAAATCATATGAACCATAAGAAGTGTGCACAGTGAAAAATGAATAAATAAATGGAAAGTTACACATATATAAAAAATAATAAAAATCCTTCCCTGGTGATGCACTGCACTGCTCGCCTTTAAATAAATGGATGGATGGATGAGCAACGCTACGAAGCTGCCTAGTGCTCTGCTTGCCATAGACAACCATGGGACATGGATTTAATATAGAGAGTAGATCTGAAACCCAGCAGAGACACCTATTAATTCATAGAGATGCAGCCTACAGGGTGTGTGCCTCTCATTCTAGTATAGTCATATGATGAGACGTAGGCATGTGTGGCAATGTAGTGCACCATGGATGGATATGCATATGCAATACTATATACAAGAACAAAGGAGATAAATCACTAGTAAAACATAAATGTTGATATAAAACGTTACAAAAAACTTCTTAATATGGCTCACAAAGTTTAAATAAAATAAAATAAAATTAAATAAGTATTGTTATGTATGCATAGACATGGAAGCATAAGAAATATAAATATATAGGAAAATAATTTTTTTTTTTTTCTTTTCCTATATATTTATATTTCTTATAATTCCATGTCTATGCATACACACATATACCATACACTATACCAATTTTACCAGATATTATACTATATTGTAACAATACTTATTTAATTTTATTTTATTTAAACTTTGTGAGCCATATTAAGAAGTTTTTTGTAACGTTTTATATCAACCTTTATGTTTTACTAGTGATTTATCTCCTTTGTTCTTGTATATAGTATTGCATATGCATATCCATCCATGGTGCACTACATGCCACACATGCCTACGTCTCATCATATGACTATACTAGAATGAGAGGCACACACCCTGTAGGCTGCATCTCTATGAATTAATAAGTGTCTCTGCTGGGTTTCAGATCTACTCTCTATATTAAATCCATGTCCCATGGTTGTCTATGGCAAGCAGAGCACTAGGCAGCTTCGTAGCGTTGCTCATCCATCCATCCATTTATTTAAAGGCGAGCAGTGCAGTGCATCACCAGGGAAGGATTTTTATTATTTTTAATATATGTGTAACTTTCCATTTATTTATTCATTTTTCACTGTGCACACTTCTTATGGTTCATATGATTTTATGATTGTCACTAGTTTCAATGGTTTTATTTATACACATATATATATACTGTATATATATATATATATATATATATATTTTTTTTTTTATAGACCTTTCGTGTTTGCTTACACTATGTCGATTGCCCCTGTGACTCCTCCACCTGCACAGGGGAGTGTCCAGGACGGCCCATGTGACCTTTGGTTTAACTAGTAGTGAGCATATAAAAGAGGGAGCAGACATTTGGTCAGTTGGCTCTGAGGAAGAGGCAAGTCCTCGAAACACGTCAGCCTTCTGGATGTCTAAACTCCCTATTGCGGACTGTTACTCAGCGCGGTGTTGATCCAGCTGTTCTTTTATGATGTGCCTTGACTATATTGTCGTTTGTGAGTACAACACCTACTTTATTTTTTATTAAACATTTTTTATGGTAATGCAATAGGCCTGTGCGCCCTCTTTTTGTTCTTTCCCCATTCAGTATATTTGGATTCCCCCGGTCCATTTGAGGGCAGCAAGGTGTGCATGTTCCAGGACATTCTTAATGTGGTTGTAGCATCGAGTCCATCCCCAAGCGCAGGAGCATCTGTGTTTGCTGGTTCTTTGTTATGGCTTAATTAGCTGATTAGAGTGGGACACTTTGAGCCTAGAATATTGCACCTTTTCACAATATTCTAATTTTCTGAGATTGTGGATTTGGGGTTTTCATGAGATGTAAGCCATAATCATCACAATTATGACAAATCACGGCTTCAACTATCTTGCTTTGCATGTAATGAGTCTATCGCATATATTAGTTTCACCTTTTAAGTTGCTTTACTGAAATAAGTGAACTTTTGCACAATATTCTAATTTTTTGAGTTTCACCTGTATGTGGCCTAGAGACAAGCGACTATATTCATCCCAAGAAGACAGAGTGAAGCAGGAAAAAGGAAGAGGGAATGCATCACTGGATAGTGGGAGGAGACAAGATGTAAGACAGAAAAGGAAAGGTGCTACAACCAAAATATTCACAATATGGCAGTACATTAACATTAACCATAACTATGCATTGCATTATATTGTTACACAATACATGTAACAGCACAGTTGGGGTTCCCTTTATCTATACCTGCATCTATACCAGACCCTTATCCTAGATGAGGATTTAGTATAGATTGTAAAGGAGGAGTCCATAAAAAACTGAATGAGTTTTCCTTAAAAATACATACCAGCCTCCTATCCTTGATTGATCTTAAGGGGGAAACCCACTCAATGAACAGGAAACAAACTGTGGGGTTCCCCAAAATCCATACTAGACCTTTACTGTATATGAGCAGGCAACCCCCCTCCAAACCATAATATGTCCTCAACTTGGGGAGCATGCCCTTAACTCTGAGCAAGATGTGTCCCTCCCTCTTCAAATGCAATCCACCAAAATAAGGTGACCAGATAAAATTTCAATTACAGCCTACTGACAACACCCACCCAGTACAAAGAAAGGTAGTTGAGGATAGGGACAAGCAGTACAGAGGAGTCGGTTGATGGTAAAGGCAGGCAGTATAGAAGGAGGTGGTTGACTGTGAGGAAAGGCAGTACCAGCAGGAAAATAAGGGTGGCACCAGTAGCACAGAAAGGACAGTTGATAATGGAGACTGCCAGTACAGATAGGACAGTTAAACACAGGTTCCATCATTCCCCCACCCCCTAAGTCTCTGTTGTTCCCTATCATGTCCCCTCAACATTGCCCCCCCTCGTACTTACCTTGTCCTTGAACTTAGGGCCCCCAAGCAGTTGATAACCAATTAAAAGTCAATTCCCAAGCTCTGGGACTGCTCTTTCCCCCTGCCCTGGTTCATGTGGGTCCAGAAGGCCAGGGCTAAGGTCCCTGGCTCCAGTGCTGCCAATCTCTCCTCTCTAGCACCACACTATCAATTTAAGCTGGAGGAATGAAATGGAGGGAGGGAGGAAAGGTGATGTATCCAGCATCTTAGAATTTGGATTGAGTGTCCAGTAACAAAATTTGAAACAGGAGCTACAACATATCTCTTTATTTCCAGGGACAGGCTTCCCAAATCAGTGACTATTCATAGAAATTGGGGATATCTGGTCACCCTATACTGAAAAGACGAATTTGATGTGCAGCATGTCTCTGTTAAGTTTCTTCCTCATGTCTCTGACATAGTTCACCATAATTTTTAACACATCATAAAAAATGCCTCATCTTTATCTCTGCAAATGAGGCATACTAATAAGGCTTATGCGATATATAGTATGTTCTGTTATATTTCTGCCTTTTGTCTCTGACAAAATTCATTGTTATGTTATTTTAGCTCTTTTTAAACCTGTCTTTTCTCTCTCTCTTATATTGCTGCCCAATTTAGTTGCTTACATACTCTCCAGCCACTGTGCTACGTATACTGTATGTCTAAATATTTGTATCTGAAACATTGTTATGTAATTTCTTTTTTCTTCATAGCAATTTCCGCATCTCCGGAATTTGGTGTTGTGGTTTGTTAGGTGTTGTTTTGCACACTTTGTTGACATTTTATTAAACTTTGTAGACAATACAATGTGGTACTAGCACTAAAAGAAGATCACAGGATATGCTATGAAACATGTTTTGCTAATGTTTGTGAAATCCCAAAACAAGCAACACTCCAAAACACGCTTACTTCTTCCTCAGTCTTGGGTATGCCTTGTGCTGGCCTAGGGAACCCGTTTCCATTCCCACTCATTCTTTATGGAATAACTTTATTCAGCACACACCAACATGCTGAGAGCCCCTGCATAAGATCCACCCCTCTGATGCTTTTCACCCTCATACAGATGGGAAGGGTTAGGTGAAGGAAGACCACATGCCTCCTTTTTTATGGGTACAGCTTTCTACAGTTCAGCTTCTCATGAAAGGTGAGTTTCAAGTAAACCTGTGCTGAGGAAGTATGGATGTTGTCATGGCTGACTAACCTTCTGAAAATGCCAGCTGAAAAATGCTTGATGAATTGGTCTTTTCAGGACATTCCATGTCATTGACACAGATCAAGTACTGTATAAAAGGTAACATGGTATGGCACGTAATATCCAATCTTAATGCTTGTTCTAGAGCTGTTGAAACCATAACAGCCAGGCAACAAATATTTTTAAAAGCAGGTCAGCAGTAACAGCATATATATTTCTCCAAGTAAAATTTACTTTAATATTTTTTGCTATACAGTGTGTGCTACTGCTTATGTATAATAGGATGGTCATATTTTTGCTTTTTACATACAGGCTCTGTTTTCTTGTGCCATGCTGATCCTTACACTTCATTGTAAGTTTATCACATGTAGTACTACCAGAAAGGTCAGATCCTAGTTGGAATTTCTTCACACTGACAGCATGGTCATCAGAAGGAAAGGCTATCAAGACCTTGTCACTGTTAGAGATGATTTTGTGAAGTCCGAGGTTTGCAGTGGCAAGCATGTTCTGGGTTCTAGTAAGAAGGTCAATAGCTTCTTCTTCATTGGGCAGAGATTTGAGTCCGTCGTCTACATAGAAATTCCTTTCGACGAACTGTCTTGCATCAGATCCAAACTCTTTCTCACCCTCTTGAGCTGTTTTCCTCAGTCCATAAATTGCTACTGCAGGAGAAGGACTGTTACCGAAAACATGTACCTTCATTTGGTAGTCTATGACTTCATCGTTGACATTATTATTGCGGTACCATCAGAACCTGAGGAAGTTTCTGTAATCTTCACGGACTATGAAACAGTGGAACATCTGCTGAATGTCAGCCATAACAGCAATTGGCTCTTGTCTGAAGCGAAGTAAAACTCCTATGAGATTGTTGTTCAGATTAGGCCCAGTGAGAAGATATTGATTGAGGGAGATGCCTTCATGACGAGCACTTGAGTCAAAGACCACCCTAATTTGATCAGGCTTGCTAGGATAGTAGACACCAAAGCATGGTAGATACCAACATTCTTCTCCTTCCATAACAGGAGGTGCAGGCTCAGCATGATCTCTCTCAAACACCTTCCTGCATAAAGTCCACAAAGTGCTTTTTCATATCAGGCTTCTGGTTCAAACTTCAATTTAAAGAAACAAACTGTGATTCTGCATGTACCCTGTTGTTTGATAGTCTCTTTCTTGGGATACGAAATGGTAGTGGTGTTACCCTACTGTTGGAATCATCTTGGTAGAACTCTTTACTCATGGTTTTCAAGAACTCATTGTCTTTAGTGGTTACCTCGAACACTGTGTTGCCGATGTTGTCATCCCAGGGATTAAGAGCTTTCTTATTGTCTTGTATGATGTGCTGTTGTGCACCTTTTTCAAACAATCTTTCTTTCACAATATATTTATGTGGTCGTTGTGCAGAACAAGTTGTTTGTCCATTTGACAAGACATGTGTTTTAAAAGGAAGAGACTGAGTAGGACCTCCTGTCCTTGTCTAAGCAGACATTGCCTATGATGACCCATCCTAGATCCAGACGCTGAGCATATGGTGCATTGTGTGGATCGCTGATTTGTGACGAACTTTGTGCACCCTTAGCATGTCTCGACCAAGTAACAGCAGGATATCGACACTTTCATCGAGGGCTGGTATTTGGTTGGCTATG